TATATATATATACATATACACATAAGGAGGAGAGGAAGGGACAAGGTCTTGCTATATATAGTCCAGTTGCCCTTCAACTCACTATGTAACCCAGACTGGCCTCAAACCTGTGATCTTCCTGCCTCAACTTCCCAAGTGCTGGAATTACAGGCATGCACCACCACACCTGATACATAACATTTAGGTTTTCCTTTTTCATACCAAGTACTGTAATAAAGCTTATAAGATGATATCATACACCCTTAAAACAATTCTATTAAGTAGGAGTTATCCCTATGTCACAGATGAGAAAATTGAGGAACAAAGTCACATAGTTATCAAGTGGCCAAGACATGATTTAAAACTAGGCTAAGCCCAACTCTACAACCCAGACCCTTAAGTACTGTCATACTTAACTTCCACTAAGATCTAGAGTAAACACACCACAGTAAGACCCTATACTATTTACTCACTACCAAAATAAAGCCAGCCCTATCTCACTCACATGTGCAACTGTGATTTTCTGTAACTGCGTATCACTACAGAATGAGAGCAGAGAAGTATATAATGTACCTAGCCTAGGTCTGTCAACTGAACATACATGACTGCTTCAAAGAATCTTCTAATTCCCTAAAAGAGCATATTAACTTTTGAGAAAGCAATTTGGGTTTGGGTGGAGGGGAGATCATCTAGTTTCACTAAATTCTCAGAGACTCTGAGATCACAAAAATGGTTAGGGCAAATACTGTTCACCTAACTATAAAATTTAGTGCAAATATTAAACCAAAACATCTTAAATTTAAGGAAACAATTTTTAGTTGTGAAATGTACATTTCAAAGGATAAACTACAATTTAATGACTCAAACACTTAAACATACCTTCCAAGATGAAATAAGCATAATGAATACAATATCTTCAAATGGTTCTCACTCTTGTCAAGTAAGCATATATATACATGCTATTACCGTACAAGATGAAAAATGGCATATACTGACTATAAAATCAAATAGTATGTAAGAACTAGGAGACTAAAAAAAAAGATTTCACAGAAAAAGTATGTAATCATTAAAATAAAACAAGATTTCACTATGCTCAGTTGGTAACAGAAGCCATTAATAGAACTATAGAAATAGGGGCCGGTGAGACAGTTCAGGAGACTAAAGCACCTGTTTAGGCAAGCTAAAGCAAGTGCAGGGACCACAGTTCGATCCCCAGTACCAAATGCCATGCCAGCCCCACCCCTAGGCAGGCTAAGCCAGCCAGAGTTCTGGCATAGGGGAGCACGCCTGTAATCCCAGCACTGGGGAGACGGAAAGCAAGAGAATCACCACAAGTATGAGCTGTAGTGAGACCCTGCAACAACCAAATACATTAAAAAAAAAAAAAACCTCAAACTACAAAAACAATACAACTACAGACAAAAGAAACATTACGCAGTGTTGATGAGTTCAAGAGGATCCAGAAAAGGCTTGTATTATAGACATAAGTATAGTAGGAAAGGACTAGAGAGTTTTATCAAGGTCTGTAAATTGCCTCACAGTTCTAACTAAGTTGTTTGGACTTTACCCTGCAGACAGTAAAAGCTACAAATGGTGTGTAAGCAAGTAAAAGGGACGATCATATCTGTATTTTATAAAGATAAAACTAAGGCCCAGAGGAGACTGAAAGAATGCCAGAAGAGAGGAGGGAGGGAAAACTGGACCAAGTATAAACCTCTATGCTTAAACTGTGATCACTTAAGCAAGTAAATGAAACTTATCAATATTAAATTTTAAAATGAAACATCAGGTCTTAAGTCACATGTCATTCTTCAATTTGGTATGGACACTACAGGCTTATGCATTACCATAACAATTTGCTTTGCGTTTTAGTCTTTTAGGCATCTTAAGTAAACTGAAAGTTCATGCAAAAATGTCTAAAATTCATTCTCTGCCAAGTATGTTGATGGACACCTGTGATCCCAGCACTTGGGAGGCTGAGGCAGGAGGATCACCACAAGTTCGAGGCTAACTTGGACTATACTGTGAGTTCAGGCCGTGAGACCATGCCTCTGAAAACAAAAAGTCAACCTTTATCTCATGCTGATAGATACTAGGATCTAAAGATTGAACGCAGGACCTTCACATGGAGTTACAGCTTCCCCCAGCCTCCCTTTTTTTAAGACAGAGTCTTCGCTACACCAGGCCCTGAACTCACAGTATAGGCCAGGCTGCTCTCAAACTCTCAGCAATCCTCCCATCTCAGTCCCCACAGTGCTAGAATTACAGATATATGCCACCACACCCAGTTCTCCCTTTTGATTTTTTTTTTTTTTTTCTTTTTTTGAGACAGGGTCTCACTATGTAGTGCAGGCTGATGTTGAACTCACTTCTGTAGCCCAGGCTGACCTCAAACTCATAGCGATCCTCCTACCTCAGCCTCCCAAGTGCTGTGGTCACAAGTATGTATCACCACGCCCCGCTTTTTTTTTTGGTTCTTTAACTTAATTTTTCCTGTACCAGGGATTGAACTCCGGACCTGGCACTTCCCAGGCAGGCGCTTATGCCCCTGAGCTATATCCCTAGTCCCCTTTTTTATATTTTGAGACAAGAGTCTGATGATCATTGACTTGATCAGGTTAGGTTCAAACCTGAAATCCTCCTGCCTCAGCCTCCAAGAGGTGCCACCAGACCTGGCCAATTTGTATTCTTATTTTTCTTTTGTAGGGTTGAGGCTGGAACCCTGGGCCTCATACATGCTAGGTAAGCATTCTACTACTGAGCTCAAAGTTACTGTTCCAACTGAAGAATCAAACATTTTCTAACCAGCATTAAATCTGCACCATTTATAAAAAATATGGTATCATGCATAAATTAACTGTACAACTCTGGTATCCCTTTTTCTTTAAAAAAAAAAAGTCAAACTTAATGGCACTACAGTATGTGGTTTTTGCAGTTATAACAAAGGTATTGTAAATACAACTAATTCAAATGACAAATCTGAATAAATACTACCCAAGTCACTCCCTTTCCAGAGCTAAGTAGAAATAAACTGTAATAACCATTTTCCCAAGTAATAAGGGCCATTGTCACTTTTTTCTCACTGCTGAAACAAAATAACTGCCACCCAAAGTTAAAGGGTAAGAGTTATTTAAACCCCGCTTATACAGATTTCAGTCCATAATAAGCTGGCTCCAAGGCAGGGTGGCTCATGGCAGACAGGCACTGCAGAGGAGAAACAGTGCATGGCAGACAGAAGGTAGCAAAACAAGCAAGGGAGGCAAGACAGCCTCATCCTGGCCCTTACACAGTAGCCAGGCTACCAGGATTTCCAAACTTCTGTGAAAAAACTTAACATGAAAGGCAATATAAAAACACTAAAGAACCTCAGAGAAGGAGGAGCAGGAGCAAATACATGACTTGCAACAAAAACAGACAAGACAATTTTTTATGTAACAAATTTGCAGCTTTGAGCAGGGGCTGTAGTTCTGCAGCAGAGCACTTGTCCAGCACATATGAGGCTCTGAGTTCAATACTCCACTAGTGAAAGGGAAAAAAATGCAACTTTAAAAAGATCTACTAAAAAAAATTTTAATGGCATGGAATAGAAAAAACATAGCCCAAATGAGACTTTTGATGATTTTAAATTCTAACAGTTCTAGTCCTAGCTAGAACTGTGGAACTGTGCAATTTAGAACAAGACCAGATTTTCTCATGTTAATACAAAAAATAAAAAAAATTTAAAAAATGCAAAAAATAACTACTTCCCAAGGAGGAACAAAAGAATCAAGTCTTAAATTTCATAAATTAAAAAGCATTATACAATTTCAAGGCATCATAATCACTAACATTATGAGAACAGACTTCAAAAACATCCACAGATGACTAGCACAATTCCTGGCACAAATATCAGTATGTAAGTTATTGAATGAGTAAAAATATTTTCCTTTTAAAATCATTACAAAGAAAATTACAGAAATGGATCAATAAAACTGATTTTGAAACATTACAGCCTTCTTTAAAAAAGTATAAATGTATCTTAAGCCTATTTCCATAATCCTGCCATAAGTACCAAATATATAAATATTTCAAAACCATAAAAGCCTTCTAAACCCATTCATTAGTAAAAAAACACTTGGTCAGCATTACACTACTAAAAAATACCAAATGGGGGCTGGGAAGATAGCTCAGTAGAATAAGCACTTGCCTGGCAAGCGCAAGGTCCCGAGTTCAATCCCCGGTACTAAAAAAAGAAAGAAAAACACAAAAGAAAAACATGGTATCAGTCATCTGACACCAAAAAAAGGTATAAAAATACTGGATACTAAGAGTATTTGGAAACCCAACAGAAACAAAGGAGAAACCATAAAAACAACCCAATCAAGGGTAGTGTTAGTTTAGGTGCAAGATAACTACATAAGTTTACAAACTAAAAGAAAAATCCACTACTGTTTTTTCACCATCTATAGTCTTCTTGGACAATCCACAAACAAACATTATCTAACACGAAAGCTGGCATTATTGTAAAAAGTTGTACCACAAGATAAAAAGGACCACAAACTACAGTAGTCCTGGGAGGGTGGCACCGGCAGTGATGTTGCTATAGCAATTCATTACAAGAACATATGTCAGTGCAACTAGGCATAAAAATGAAGGCAGTGGGGCTGAAAGAATAAGAGAATGACTCTCCTTAGATAATACCTGTGGAAAAGGAAAAAGTCCACACCACTTATTGCACTTTGAAAGGATAATGAACTTCTCAGTCCCAAGTGGCTTTATAAAAGCCAGAATTTAACTGAAAACAAGTGTGAAGCTAAAGTGTCATGATCAAGAATAATTCTAAAGCAGTGTACTCAATTTCATAAAATCAAGGAACATTAATAGAACTCATGACTTTCAACACTACAGATCCCAATACTAGAAAAATAACCTAAAGTAAATATTACTCATTTTAGTTCACTGACGTTTACATGGTAAACTAGTGAACATTATAACACAAACCAAAGATCAGGCAATAGCTCTCATAATATTTACTTGTTCAGTCTCACTAGAGTACAAATCCAGTACAAATAGCCCACAAGTTCAGCCAAATGTAATCTCAACAAATTAACACTTGCATAAAGGTGTTTTCTATTTCCTAGTTTATTACTAAATACTAAAGTTAATCACACAACTTTTAGTGCTAAAATACAGAACAGCCTTGCTATAAAATCATCTTTGGGTGTCCATGTTGTAGGACACCACAGATGAGACCACTCTGTGATTAGACTCAACAAGGTACTACAAAGTATAAACAATCTTTGTAACAATTTGCAAACTCACAATGGCATTTAAAACAAATCTTTAGTACAGCTGATTGATTTTTCAAGGTCCTTTTAATCTTGAAATACCAAGCTATAAAGGCATAAAGCTGAACTGTATGTGCATATTTTCACTTGACTTTAAGCACTGTATACAATGTATGCTGTACATAGGTCCTGAGAGCAGAAGACATTAGTGAGTAAACTAGCAAAATCCCAATACATCTGCAGTTACTTTAGTTATTAACAGCAATGTTAATTTCCTAGTTTCATCAATGTACTACAACTAGGTTAAAAGTAGGTGAAGCTGGATGAAACACAGAAAGTAATTTTTGGTTGTACTGTGTTCAACTTTCCTATAAATATAAAATTATTCCACAATACATTTGAGATGAAAAAACTGGGAGATCCTGAGAGGTAGAAAGCAACAAGAAACTGGATTGCCCCATAATACATGTTTTAAAAACACAAGCACAAAAAACCTTTATAGACCTATCACGATTTCCAGTGATTTGAGTAACTAAGATTACCTAAACTCATTTTTAAATTGGAAAAAAAAAAAAAAAGAACTCAGAAACTCAACTAAATTCTCTTCCATTTTCTGATGTAGATTTGTTTTTGCTAAAGCCAAGACATACAAGGTAGTCTTGCCAACTTTAATCAAAGTGAAAAATTTTATGCACAGGTGCCAAACATTTTTTAAAAACCTGTGTTTTGGAGGTTTCCTTAAAAACTATATATTCGTTTTATTAAGACTGCCAAATTATGAGGCATGATAAATCGCAGATTTCTCAGACTGACTCTATTCAATGTTTATCTGCAGGGAAATGTCAGAAGTGATTTGCTAAGTTACAGTAAGATCTAAAGAGACATATAAGCAACCCTATACTAGTAAGGCCACAGCTGGCTACACTGGAGACAGTACTCCAATCCTGAGTTTGAGATTACCACATTTTTACCCCAACTTCCTGCTTCACTTTTCCCCTCCCCCATACGTAAACCGATATCTAAATCTTGTAAATTAAAAGAAAGTCTTCCGTTCTACTTGAAATATTAAAAAGTTGAAGAAATCTGCTTTCCAGTTTTACTCCTGTGGTGGTTTATTATGATTAACAGCCCATCTGTTTTGGCACTTTGGCAAGGAGAGGCATAATTTACATAAAGGTTTATGAATCTCTAAATTTAACAATGGTTCTCACAAACATAACTTTATGCTTTTACACCTTAATCTGCTCACAAAAGCACATATGAAGCACTAAAATTACAAACATACCAAGAATTAACCATTAGCTTAACTTACATGACTTGACATACTATGTATTCGCTATACCAAACAGAAAACTTTTGTCACAGTGACTTAAAACTATATAAAAATCAATTCCTCTAAACCCTCTCAAAAAAATTAGATGAGTATAATTTCACCTAGTTTAATAGGTGAACACATCTACATGTTAAACTAAAGCACCAGCAATGACCAAAACAAATATAAAGTACATAACTAACCGTCAACAATCCGTTCCTAACTAATTTCCTATTCAGTCCTCCTAACCCACTGGCAGCCCCCCCTTAAAAACACTTCCAAAAGAATCCCTTCACATCCTACCAGACTGGATGAAAAAGTTTTAACAACCAAATTAAACTGTAAGAGTTGAATTAACATGCATCTAAGTAAAATTCTTTACCTCTATTTTTGTAACACAGATACTCATATTCAATTTCAATGGCCGACTACTTAACTCTAATTTTAACGGTCAACAATTAAAATGTCACTTTTCCACTCTGTGGAAAAACTTGTGCAAATTTGAAGGAGTCTACAAAAAAGAAAAATCCAATTCTGAACTTAAAAAGCTCTCAACAATGTTAACTCCTGCCCACAAAAAGGCTACATCAAGAGCAAACCCCTTTATATTTTATGATCGACAACTTGAGCGACTAATATCTATTAACTTCCCGCAGAAAAAAACTCCAGGTTCAAACATTCCAAAAGCTAAAGCCACCGTCTGTGCAGTCGATCCTATCTATGGCCGACAGGCTGTGCTTAAAAAGCAGAGCGCTCAGCGGAGGAGTTTCGGCTCACCTCGGAACTGCTCCAACATCCATTTTGGAGCCCTGCACCCCCCACCCCGACTTCATTTTGTAGAGCTCAGGGAGCGCGGGGCAGCGGTGACAATTACGAGAAAGCCCGGGCCGGCGGGGCCCCACGCGGGGACACTAGGCCCAGGCCCGGGCGGCCCGCGCGCCGAGGCCTCCCGGCGTTGTCGCGGGCAGGCTGAGAGGCCGCGGCGGCCG